TATCTCAATCTTTGGAGAATCTATCCTTGTGCATCAATGTATATTTATTGATTATGTACCACATGTCAAAAATAATCAGATGAAAATATTTGGTCCCCGACCATAAATCAATTGAAAGAAAATTTGATCATAAATTATCGGTCTGATGAGTACAATTACTTTTGTATGCAATATCGTATTTCACATCAGCATATCAAGCTTTGTTTTCATAAACAATGATTTTACTATTTGAGACATTTAGTGTCACATCATCTTGAGTATTTATCAATATTATCAAGATAAATTGTCTTGATTACATATTCTGAAATTGTGCTCTTAACTCAATTATTTTTGCACAAACAATTTTATGAATGTCAAACTACACGTTGACAACAAAAATACATGTGATTATCTTATCGATGCATCTCTTTATCATATCACATAATAGGTGAACGAACCCATATTCAACTTTTATACTTTTCATAATTTAGGGATTTAGTCCCAACTTTAGTTGATCCAATCAACTTTATCACGAGAACAAGCAACGTAAAGAATTCTTGAAGAATCTTCTAGTTTTTCAATGTATGTCCATTGCTCGGTATGCACATCTTTGGGATGACCAAGTTATTCATGCCAACTAATAAAATTAGTAGTACTCGTAAACTCCAAATTTACTACGCCATGTGTCTTTTGCTTTAGTAAATTTCTGATTTACTATTATATGAGTAAATTTCAATTTAATTACTCCAAGAGTAATTTTTTGATTTATTTCTTCTCAATTACTTTACCCTTTAGGTGAGTCGTGATCCCATCATTGAATGAACTAATCTGAAGAAAATTGTGCATGTAACATATTATTTGTGCCAACATTTGTGCAAACATCAAGTTGCGAGATAATAATAGACACACATGAGACCATATAGAAGAAACATTTATTAGGACCAATAAATATCTAAACAATCCACTAAGTGGATGACTAGGTCCACAAATATCTGTATACATTCCTATAACGCAGAAAGTTCAATCTCAACTTTCGTTTATGGTGGTCTCACAATTAGCTTGTCTTGCTAACAAGTAGTACAAGAAAATTCACCATTTAAAAGAATTTTTAGTTTCTTCCATGAAAGTCCATTTTAATTTTCCATAATTCGTCTAAACATTATAGGCTAACGATGTCCCAGACAATCGTGTCAAACTAAGAAAGTATAGGAATTAGTAAATTTCTTATTTACCATAGAATGTGCCTCAATTGCATTAATTTTTGTCCAATACAAGCCCGAAGATAAAACATGAAACTTTTCTATAATACATGTCTTCTAAGAGACATTCTTGGTGATACCACATCATTGACCAAGGTCGGAATCTTTCTCATGCTAAGCATGGTGGCTTACACCTCATTCCCTTTAAAGAATGGATCCATATTTTAGCATTTATTAAAAGTTCTCATTCTTCATGAGTGGAACACAAACAGGTGAGCTTATCAAATTATGATAGCTTTAGTACCTCATTCCATATTTATGTGCATTATTCAATCAGTTGTCTTCTTTCAGACATATTATGCACTAATATTACATTCACTTTTGAATGGTTAAAATTTAGTAAATTTCATGACTCTTCATCTAAAACACATTAGTTTTTCTTTAGTCATCATAATATCATTAATATGGTGCATTGAGACTCAAACCCAATGTCTTATGCCATAAATCAATGAGAGATTTGAATCCAACATCTTTCATCACAAAGCATCAAGACTTCTGATGTCTTACCCTCTTGGTGCGATTGGACGTAAATCCATCATCTTATTCTTTTGGTGCGATAAAACTTAAATCTATCGTCTTACCCATAATGAGGCTCAACCTCAAGCCTTCAAAATAATTTTAATTTTATCACTTTTAATGATCATTAATATGATCATACATTATAATTACACACAAAATTGAGATTATTGATTTATTATAATCAACATTAATAGTTAATAAATATAATTTAATAGATCAAATAACTCATATAAAGGTTGAAAACATACCTTTCACTAAATTGTGCTTATTTAATTATTAAAATAAATTAAGAAATTTTTCTTCTCAATTGATTAAAATTAAATACTTACTTTAGATGCTACCTCCAAATCTGTTACATAAATCATTATAACATAAAGATAAATCATACCTTGAGATATAAGAACCTTATTGCATAAGATCTCTTTTGCACTTTTTCCGTCTTCTTCATAATTCTTTAAGAATAGAACAATCGTACTGATAACGTGTTATGAAACTATATAAATTTAGACAAGAAGAAAGTAGGGAGAAGAGAAAAGACTTCTTATTTCTCTTGAAGTATATTCAGAATTCAGAGATCTTTCATAAATCTTCTTTACAATGAAGGAAAACCCTTTATTTATAGGAAAACCTTACTTGGTCCCCATGTAGGATTCCTAACCATGTGCTACAAGGACTCTACATAATTAGACATTCACTATAATACAAATTGTTTATAACATATCTTTTAATTTATTTTTTTTAAAAAAATGTTCATAAACACATAAAATCTCATGAAAAAAGCAAAGATTAAACACATAAAAAAATTGTTCATTATCTGCATAACTTTTTCATTTTTCTACGTCGTGCTTCTATTTTTTTTTAAAGCAATTTTGTTTGCTCCTTTTATTTTATTTTTCTTTTTTTATCCTCTTTGGGATTTACCCATTTCTTTAACTCTTTTTCTGTGTGTTAAAGATTAAATAACTCTTATTTTGATTCAAGAATAGTGTAACTCAATCTTGCAAATAAAAAATACCACATAAAAATTATGAGAAAAATTTATATGAAAAAATAGGTAAAATTCATAAAACTTTTTGAGGATGGTTACATTTATCATTACTAAAATACATGTTTTATCCTTAAACTTAGAGAGAAAGAAAAGTACCTTGACTGTCAAAAGGCAAAGCAAATTCTGTAAGATTATTTTTTGTAATTCTTATTGAGTTACAATAACATATTTCTACAAATAAAAAAAAGGAAAGGACAAAAAACAAAAGAAAAAAAAGAATAAATGATTTAAGGAAATAATATAAATAATATTAATGATGAGATTAAGGGAAGGAAGTAACAGAAATAATAGCATTAATGATCATAGGTATTATGTATGGTTATTTTTTATATTTTTTTAATAAAATTTTAATGTTAATATTTCAGCCTTTACAAATGAGGGAAAATGTAATTAAAATAAAACAAATATGGTTGCACAATTTTTTTTAAAGAGTAACTTCATATATTTGAGCACTTATTTTAATAAAAAATGTTAAAAGAAATATCAAAAGAATTGATATAAATGAATAAATAAATATCAATGCTAGGCTAAGAAGGGTGTTATCACATTTTTTATTTTAGATATTATTGCATATAAATATAATTATTAGTTGGAGAAATGATATAAAGATATGACATATCAATTTCTCTATATATATAACTCGTACGAAGTTATAATTATTAATGACTCGTATAAATATACATTAAATTTTGTTCAGCGATTCTTATTAGTTATAATGGCATATTTTTAGAAAAAAATAAATAAATAAAAAACAAAAAATATAAAAGAAAAGAAGTGATTTAAGGAAATAACATAAGTTACATCAATAATGAGATTAAGGGAAGAAAGTAAAAAGAAGTTAATAGCAATAATGATGGTATTTTTATTTTACGAATAATTGTTCATATTTTAAAATTAGGAAAAAAATGTTATTAAAATAAAATGAATATCGAGGCATAATTATTTTCTAAAGAGTAACTTCATGTTTTGTGCAATTATTTTAATAAAAATGTATTTAAAATGTCGAAATAATTGATATAAATAAATAGATATCAAATGCTAGACTAAAAAGGGTGTCATCACAATATTTAATTTTATTTATATATGTATATATATATTCAAAATAATTGATATAAATAAATTCTCTAAATTTCGTTTTGCTATTTTTATTATGTTATAATAACAACTTATTTCTAGGAATAAATATTTAAAATAAAATAAACAAAGAAAAGAGAAAAGGTGATTTAAGGAAATAATAAAAATAATATTGATGATGAGCTAAGGGAAATTAAGAGAAATTAATAGTATATACTAGTTCTTAAATATGGTCATTACTATAAAATTATAAAGGGAAGGAAAGTATAGGACTTGAAAAGTAATATACTTTATATTTTGTTGGACAGATGCCTATTTCCCTTCATAGTGGTATAATGGTTTTAAAATGTATTACTTTTATTTTGGTCCCATCACAAATGTGTATGACGTTACAAAGGATAGGGTGTTAATTAGAAAGATGAACATCATAAGCAGCAAATCATAAAACTATCGACACGGATTGTGATGTATTAGTAGAAAAGTGTTTTATTCTTAACTAGAGATATCAGATTCGAGCCTTGGATACGGAGATAATTCTGTTGGATGCGCCACCCCCAAAAAAATCCTGCAGAACGTGATCTGAATTTAATTGGAAATCCACGCGCGTAAAAAATCAAAAATTAAAATTAAAAATCATAAAACTATGAAAGGGTGTTGTGCACATTAATGAATCCTTATTTTTTGTTATCATGAAAAAAAAACACTTTGTTTTGCATTTGCTTTTTTCTTTTCCTGTTATCATGAATCCTAGTTTGATATTGTCATCAAACAGGTCATCACTTATTTACTAAACACCATGAGATAATCAAGTAATGCAATAATAATTACCTACTAGAGAAAAGCTATAATCTTACTACAACTTTCGATTACAAATATTATATTTTTTGTCAATTGCTATAATAAAAAAATAAAATTTATATTTTTCTAATTTTTAATAATAATATTATTTCGACTACTAAAATTATAAAATGAAGTAAAAAAGTAATTGAACAGTTACCAACTACAGTAATCGAAAACTTATTTATTAAATTGCGACCACAGTAATCGGTCCTCTAACAATATTTTTTCGTTTAAAATTGATTTATTTTCAACTAATATAATAGTTATTATTTTAAAATGGCACACTCTTTTATTAAAACAAAAACTTCTTAGAGAGCTTTCTGCTTCGCCTCTTCGATTTGAATTAGCATTTTCATTAGAGTGCCATCGTCTTAGCAGAGGTTACTGACACCGTCTTAGAGAGATAATGTAAACACTTTTTAGGGTTTTAATTTCAATAATTTTTAGTGTGTAGGGTTTTAGTTTCAATTCTATTGAGGTACTGTAAATTTTTTTGGAAGAGGTAATGTAAGCACTCTCCCTCTTTAGGATTTCAATTTGATTGAGGGTCAACTCTTCCCCTTCTTTAGGGTTTCAATTTTGTACCCTAAACTCTCCGCCTCGTTTCAGTTTTGTTGAGGTAGTGTATATTATTGTTGCCTCGCTACTTCGCGCTCTCTATGATTTGCTAATTCTAATTTAAAGTTGTGCTTTCTTGTATTTAATTTTGCTCAACTGTTTTTCTCAATATGCTCTGTGTGGGCTTAATTGGGGTTAAAAGAGGTCAGAAAGACCAGCTATTGAGGTAGGCATATGTGTCTTAGTTGGAGTTCTTGCACCTGCCATTGCTGGAGTTTACTGTACACATAACTCTCCAGGAAAAAAATGATTATACTGAGTTAGACGAGGAATCACAAGTTCAAAAAAGTGCTGCAGAAAGCTGCAGTGCTAGCCAACCGAGAAGAATACCATTGAAAAAGAGATCTTCTTTTGCATCAGTTAAATGGAGAGTTTTCGAAACTAGACCACAATTGAGCGGAGGCATTCTTGATTTTGGGATGATCTTTCTTCGACATATCTCTCTTTGTTCTGTTGTTTTGTGTTTTTGGTTGGAATATGGAGAGACATGGGTTTGGAAATATGTATGTTCATATTGCAACTTTTATTCTGTATGGCTCCTTTCTGGTTCATCAATTTTGCTGTTGTTAATACTGACAGAGATACTGTTAAGATGGTATTAGGTGTTACCGAAATTTTTCTCTCTGTTTGGGTAATTATTGGTGGCTTTTGAAGGATTGGATGAGAAAAAGATACAATTTGCCTCCTTACAATTCTTGTTGTGCTAAACCTTATGTTGCTGATTGTGCACTATGGCTTTTCTGTTGTTGCTGCTCTCGTGCTTAGGAAGTAAGGACTGGAAATTCCTATGACATCGTGGAGGATACATTTCCTAGAAAACCAGATGAAAGTATATCACCATTGCCTCGTGAGGATGGGCGATATAAGTATACTTCAGGTCCTCCACTTCCAACAATAAAAAGTAGTACACCAAGCCCCAACAAATTTGCTGATGAAGTTCATAGTCCCGATAGACAACAACCCTTCGTGGAAGACGAGTCTCATACAAGAAATCAAAATGTGATAATGATACCACTTACTCCGTCAGTTATACAAAGAGAAAATGACAACCTGAATCATAAATTGTAAGCTTGCCTCTCCAATTTTTATGTAAGCTAAATATATGTTGTATTTCTACATTTTAAATATGTTGTATTAGTGTTGATTGAGATCATCGTGTTTAGATATATTATTCTCTACAATAATTTTGCATTACCCTGATTCTTTGACCTTTTTAGTCAAGTGTCTTTATCACTTATGTTAGATTTTTTTTTTTCTTAAACTTCCTATCAAGTCAAACTATATTTTGTATAAAATGAGATGGAGGGAGTATACAATCAGATCTTTGGGTTCAAATTTATCCAAACATATGCAGATTGGGGAATTGCCGCTGTTGCACAAACCATATGAGTGACAGTGTCCATAAATGTCACAATTATCAGTTGGTGCACTGACAACATTGTCCCAATTTCGGTTCTGATTATTCCGTTCTGAAAGCTGTAGAAATCCATTTAGTTCCCATCACTACCCTTGCAATAATAGAGATGTCTGTAAGTTGATACATAAATAATATTTCATTACGATCAGATAAGTATGTATAGTTATAACCATTCCACGATGTGTTACGAGATGGTGCATTAGGAAAAACTCGGACATTCCATGGTCCAGCTCTATAGAGTTCAATGGAACCATTCAAAACGAATGTTTGTTTGAATTCACCAGTATCAAATGTCTAGGTAAACTCACTCATGAAAGGATCATTTGTGCTCTTCCATGACAAAAGAGAACGATGAAAACCAGTTTCAGATTAATCCAAACCTTCATTCCAGGTAAAACTGTGTAACCTAGATTGTCAAAACTTTGCCACAGGTAGTTCTGAGGCTGATCCTCGTCTGCATCTCGAACAACAATAATGCCTGAATCAAGGAGTTGTGCTAATAAATTTTGCCTATGTCTAGTGGAATCGGAGGACCAAGTTACTCTGCCAGAACCATTTAGAAGAGTAAGAATTTCTTGTCTGGTAAAATTTAGCCCACTGGATGTGAGATTGAGTGGATTGTCTCTATTGCAGCTTAGAACTTGAGACATTTATTATCTCCTCATATCTTTTATTGATAATGCAACACAGGGACTTCTTTGGAAGGTTTTGGTTGAAATTACATGATGAGAGTACATATGTACAACACTTCAAATTTATAAGGTTTAATTTGACATTACGATAATTAAAATAATAAGTAGGCATATAGTTGAAACTACTTCCTCAATCGATAATGCTAGTTTAACATAGGTAAAGCTTAGAGCTGATTTTTACCAGCTGATTCTGCTTCAACATCATCTTTCATTGAATCCCTGATATGCGGAACTGTTCTTATGGCACCACGACTAGCGTTGACATGATAATCTTAAAGAGCTAGTAAATTGATATGTGCATTATTTTTCCCACTTCTGTTTCCAGATCAACATTTATGCCCACATCCACCTTTACATCACTATCGTTATTATCTTTACTCCTTTACCTGGTGCCTGTTACAACATAGGAACATTATATTGTTTGCTTCAGATGACTTTTGGATAATGATGCTTTTTTTGGGATTATTGTGATTGATGGGTTATTTTTGGACTCACTATGACCATTGTTAGACTGCTTATGTATATCAATTTGTTCAGTGCTTGTATGTTCTTGAATTTCAGATGATCTATTGGTATTATGATCACTATTTAATCCATTATGTCGATCAAGGTTCATTTTCCTATACTTAAAACCTATTTTCTTGTCAATAGTTTAAAAACCATCATCATCTTTTTTGCTTTCTTTTCTTTCCTGCTTTTTTCTTTTTGAGCTTTAATTCTCTCATTCCTAGCCTTGTTTCTGCACTTACTTTCAGAATGACCTTGCAATTTACAGTACAGACAATAGCTACGCAGTCACTCATATTTGATCTCGTCCTACTTAACTATGTATTGCTAATGTCTTAAAGAAATGGGGTTATTGGTTATTTAACGTGTATTTCAAGTTGGATTTGAAAGATGCTTGGATGGATAGCGTCAAACACAACCTACTTCTCTGGTTCCATAACCCAACTAACATCTGATGATATTACTTCTATATGGATAAGTGTGGCAGGAGATGTGAAGAAAGGCAGAGTTTACGGGCTTGGAGCACAACCTTCCTCATGTCATCCGTCACCGTTGTTGTCTGGTGCTTCTACTTCTCAAACTTTAGAAGAAATGGAAGCAATGCAAATAGAGATTTCAAAATTAATAGAACGACTTCAAACATCTGAAGCTAACTATGCTAAAGTGCAGAAGTTCATGGAGAAACATATGGTTGAATTTGATGAAGGCGAAAAAGAGACTGACTCTGACGAAATGTAGATTATGTTCTTGTTGTTTAGACATTTTCTATGACATTTAGTCTTGTTTTAAACTATTTACAAGTGGTGTACCAAAATAAACAACATTTTTCTATATATTAAAAATTTGGATTTCTTATAGAATTTTGTTTAGAAAATTAAAAATATGGACTACAGTAATCGAGAAAATTGAAAATGCCGACTACAGCAGTCGGAAGAGTGGAAGAGTACTTCAATGAATGATAAATGCTAATTACGGTGATCGGCATATATATAATTAATTAATTAACTATTCTGACAGCCAAAGTCGACATTATTAGATTAATAAATTATTATTTAACAAGTATTCAAACTACAGTAGTCGGTAGTAGTTGAAATTGTTGAATGCCTTGAATTGGACCCGCTACAAACAGAAAGGACGGGGGTCTGAATTCCAGCCCATTATCAGT